TTAAGTTCTCATTTCCCTGGAGAAGCACCCAGAATGCACGGTGTTCTTAGAAGCAACCAACCACCAGACAATTTCCAGAGTGGCTGTACCCGTTCATATCCTCTCCACCTGTTCTGTATTCTTGTTGGCACTTGGTGGCTTTTCTGGTTCTTCTTGTCTTGCTTTGTTTTTAGCCATCCTGGGGGACAGTATCTCATCAGGAGTGTACTTCCCCAGTGTGACAATGTTGAGGGTCTGATCTTAGCTTACTTGACTTCTCTAGGTCCTCTTTGGTGAAGGGTCTGTGGAAGTCCTTTGCTCATTTTTAATTGTGCTGTTAATTTCTTACTACTGCGTTTTGAGAGTTCTTTATATAGTTTTTATGTAAGTAAGTTGTTTGTTGGGTATGTGGCTTACAAGTATCTTATTCAAGTACGTAGCTTGTCATTTAATTCTCTTAACCATTTTGATGAAGTCCAATTTATTACTATCCTAGTTTTTTATCCTTTCCCTATAAATTAATATGTAAATTGATATGCTTTTGATTGATTAGAAGTGCACTAAATATTAAATCGATTTGGGAAAACTGCAATGTTTATACTATGTTGAGTTTTCCAATCCATGAACATGGTATATCTTTCTTTTACATTTTTGTTGATTTTCCATCAGTTTTCAATAGTATTTAGCAACAGATGCTGTGTTTGATTAGATTTATACCTGAGCATTTTATTTTTTAAAATATTCTTATCTAAATGATTATTAATTTTTAAGTTCTGGTTCCAATTGTTAATTGCTGACATATAGAAATATAATTGATATTGTAGATTTTGTCTCCTGCAATCTTACAAAACTTACTTATTTGTTCTAGGAGTTCTTGAAATTTTCTTGTGATGTTTTATTTAGGCAATAATACTGTTTATGAATAGGTACAGTTTTATTTTTTCCTTTCTAATCCATATGCCTTTTATTTCTTTTTCATGTCTTATCTTTCAGTATGATATTGAATAAATCTTATTTTAATTGACATGTAGTCAATATTTCCTCATTGAAGTTCCTGTTAGCTGTAGGGTTTTTGTAGACAGCTTTTATTGGATTGAAGAATTTCTAGATCTGGTTCTATTTCACTGAGAGTGGTTGTTGTTTTCAATTATGAATGACAGATATGAAGTTCTGTCAAATGTCTTTTCTGTGCCAGTTCACATAATCATGTGCCTCTTCCCCTTTCAATGGTAATCTGACCTGTGTTTGGATGTATGTGGATGTAGAGAAGGGAACATTAAGGATGACAAGGAGATTTTAAAAATTCAGTGGAGGGGCTGGGGTTGTGGCTCAGCGGTAGAGCACTCGCCTCGCACATGAGAGGCCATGGATTTGATCATCAGCACCACATAAATAAATAAAATAGAGATATTGTGTTCAATTACAACTAAAAAATAAATATTTAAAAAAAATTCAGTGGAGGTAGTGAATTGGAGAAAGAATTGGTTAAGACCAATGTAATTCCCCCATCACCAAGGAATTCTGAAATATTAGAAAGATCCAGGATTCTTGCAATATATGGGATGAGACTCAACTGTTTTTATTGAAATTCTAAATGATAAGACTGAACTCAGCAGTCTAGAGGACTTGGGGACACCAGGGGACGAAGACCGCTGGGGACAAACATGTTTTCTCCACTCTTGCTTGGGTCTCTTGTGTGCAAACTCATCTATGTGTTTTATGAAGTTCCTAAGTCACCACCCAGACCATGCCTGACCTATGGCAGGTGCTTCATACACACCTGTGTAATGAATGACAGGGCAACATTGTGACTCGGAGTGCAGGCTGGGAGCCAGATTAGCTGGGTCGGATCTTGTCCCCACTATGGTAGAGTCTGAATTACAGCAAATTTAAAGCTCTTTTTTTTTTGCCCCAGTTTCCTCATCTCTTAAATGAGCCTAGTAGATGCATCTGCTACCTGGCTGTAGTGAGTGCAGAGTATGGCTCTTACTTTGTTATTTGCATGGTTATTTGGGATTGGACTCCCTGTCTTTACTTTTCCCCTACATCTCCATCATCCTCAGTCTCTCTCTTCCTCTCTGTCTGTGGATAAAGCTTAAAACAGCTTCTCTAGCTGTAGTGACAGAATTGGAGACAACTTTCAGGATGATGTGATTCAAGCTCTTGATTTCTGTGTGAGGAAAGGGAGGCTCAGGTAGCCCAGGGATCCCCGCTCCATGGTGGCCTGGGGGGCAATATTGCAAAGCTGGCATTTGGAGCATATCCTGGTAGCCACAATCAATGGCAGTGGGGACCATTGAAGCAATGCAGATGCCTGCCCTGTGGGAGGCCTCGGTGCAGGAGTCCACTCAGGGCTGGGAAATGCGTAGCTGGGTGCCCAGCAGCCTCCTTGGGCCCCACTGCTGTGTTAGAAGGTGGAAGGGCAAAGGGGGAGGAATCAGCAGCAGCCACTGGCCACACCTCCTCAGGAGAGGCACCTGTTCTGGGACCTGGAGGAACCCCGAGGCTCCTGGAGGCTCCACATACCTGGAGGCTACCTCTGTTGCCCCTGGTTCCTCCTGACCCCCAAGCCCTCTTGTTGTCTTTCCAGCCAAGGTCTGAGGCAGCTGCCTTACAAATCTTCACAGCCCACCTTGTGCTGCCCAGATGCACTTGGAACTCTCACCTATAAATATTTCAGGCCAACTGCTTAGTTATTAATGGAATGAAATGAAAGAGAATTCTTTAGCCTCTCCCCTTCTCCATAGATTGAAAACCAGGGCCGTGTCTGAGGAGCTGGAGTGGCAGGTGTCTGGGGACTTGGAAGGCAGAGGGGGAGCTGCAGATGCACTTGCTCTGTCTTGTCCTTATTGTGAGAAGGACAAGGTCTTGAAGACTCCAGTGCTGCCTTCTTTCCCCTGTTCCCAGGGGGGTGGGTACATATGTTGTCCTGGCGCGTCTTTCCCCTTTCTTGTGTGGACAGGCCCACTGCAGTGACCATCTTCTGAGGAGTGAGCTTGGCAATGTCCCTGGGGCCCTGACTTGGGTGGGGTTGGTGACCTGTCAGGCACTACCTGACACTCTGGAAGGCTGGTTGCCATCTAGATGTCTATCTTCCCTCCTGCTCTGGCTCTTTTCTCAGACTAAAGGAAGAGCATTTCCGGTGGCCTTGGATGACAAATCTCTATCATTAAACCCTGAGGGTTGGCTGCATCCAGGAGGAAGCAGCTCTTTTCTGGGGGGAACAGAGGCAATGATTCTCTCGCTGCTCCTTTTCATTTGGAACACAGTGCACCCCAGAAAGTTCAGGCCCCATGCACCCCAGAAAGCTCAGGCCCCATGCACCCCCATAAATCTCAGCCCCATGCACCCCAGAAAGCTCAGGCCCCATGTACCCAGAAAGCTCAGGCCTCATGCACCCCCATAAATCTCAGCCCCATGTACCCCAGAAAGCTCAGGCCCCATGCACCCAGAAAGCTCAGGCCCCATGCACCCAGAAAGCTCAGGCCCCATGCACCCCAGAAAGCTCAAACCCCATGTACCCCAGAAAGCTCAGGCCTCATACACCCCAAAAGCTCAGGCCCCGGCTGGAGAAACCAATCACACCACTCAGTGTCTTTAGGGCTCTGCGTCTCTGAGCACAGGAAATAGGTGAGATGGCGTCGCCATGGCAGCTAGTTGCAAATGGTCTCTTAAAATAGTATCGGTGCTCTGTACGCAGGGCTGACACTGCAGGGCTGCAGTGGAGACAAGGCTCCCTCTCACCAGGCACTGGCTCTGGCCTGGGGAGGAGTCTCCTTCCAGGATTGGAGCCCCAGCTCCATGCCACCACCTGAGGGGCCAAGGCTCAGGGGTTCCTGCTCCTGTGTCTTCCAGTCACGAGAGACCCTCACTGAGCTCCTGCCATTTATGAAGCACTAGGGACACAGGCTTAAATGAGACCACAGGCCACGGATCTGATAGAGCTCCTGTTCTGGTCACCAGTGGGTGAAGATGGAGAGTCTGTGTGTGAGTGTGATGTAAGAGTGCATGCATGAGTGAGTGTGAGTGCATGAATGTGTGCGTGAGTGTGTGTGTGTGTGTGTGCGCATGGGTGTGTGTGAATGTGCCTGTAAGAGTGCATGCATGAGTGAGTGTGTGAGTGTGCATGTGAGTGAGCATGAGTGTGCATGGGTATGTGTGAGAGTGGATGTATGAGTGTGTGTGTGCATTATATGTGTGAGAGTGCATGGGTGTGAGAGTGCATGGGTGTGAGTGTGCATGGGTGTGTGGGGTCATCTCTTGAGAGTGGGCCAGCAGTGGCCTGAGACCTGAGAATCGAGACTGAAGTGGTGCATGGGGACTTGATCACTGAGAACTGCTCTTTCTCACTCCCACTGTGGCTTCACACTCCTGGCTTCTCTCTGCCCCTATCTTTGGTGCACCCAGGGCACGCAGAGGGACAGATTGATGAGCAGACTTGGGAAGGAGCAACCAGTACCTTAACTCTTCCCTACCTGCGAGCTCCCCCTCGGCTCCTCTGGCCTCTTGGAGTCTTCACCCCAAGGTCTTCACCGTGCGGTTTGGACCTTCCAGTGCTTATGAAGTACCCAGCCTCCTGTGTTCTGTCATAGCAATGCAGACCAAGACAGCCACCATCGCTGCCACTCTCCCCTCAACCTTCCCTTTCCTCCCGGCTCCCAGCCAGCTGTCACTGTACTGACGCCACCGCCCTCATCTTGCTGCTTTTGCCCCTTCCTCCTGT